GTGGCTACAGCTCGCATATGTACAAAAGTGGATCTGGTTGTCTGGCAACTGTCAGCCACTTCTGCAACCTTCACATTGGAACATGTAACACTATTTGTTACGTTCTGTGTTCTTTTTCCTTAAAACTTACACTTCGGTATGATAAAATTGAATGTTTTGATAAAGCAGCAGATTTTAAACTAAGTTTCTGTCCCTATAATTTTGGCTGTGGTTGCTTCTTTGCAACTAGCAAACCGCACACTTTTCAGTAAATGGCATTTACCTGTGCTCTAATGATTAACAGTGAAATCGATCACATCAAAGGTCAAGCCACAGTTAGAAACATCTTTGTTAGTCCCAGGACCAATGGGACTTGAAACAGACAAAACCTTTGGACAGCCCTGGCCATTTCTCTTAATTATTAGTCTTTCTTGAATAGAGATGAAGGGAAAAGGTTATCGGTGAGGCTGTCTGCTGAGAAACTGCTTGGCAGATCTCAGGCTTGCCCGAACACTTCCCATAATGAGCCAGCTGACGTGGCACATGTTGTCTGCTAAATGATTGGTGCAATTGTTGCAAAGGGCCAAAAAACTGCTTTATTTTGCAGTTTCATGTCCACATGGGACAATTTATACTCACTGCAGTTTAAGAGAGTAACTTGTATAAGGAAAGTGTTGCAGTTCAGCACTTCCAATAGCTTTATTTTAGTTTTCATTACAGCTTAGAAATCTATTCCTTTTACCAAGTTCACTAGCATTCACAATTTATTCCATTTACAGTGGTACCTATTCTTATGCATTGTTCTTACTATTATCATGATTAAAATTAGCAATGCTAAGGAAGGTCACCAGCACAATATCCTTCAGCTACTATGCAAAAGGCCTTTACATCTTTGTAAATGAAGAAGACAATATGGATACAAAAGAGGATTTTGAGAAGCATATTGTTAATAACAGCAGAACAAGCAATTAAAATATCTGAATATCTTAGAAACAAGAAATCAGCTTCTGGAGGACAAGAAAAGTAAAGGAGTACTAAAGGAGGATAAGGACTTACCAGAAAAGTTTAATGTATTTTATGGATGGCTTCTAAAGACCTACTACTACTACTTACACTGCATTGTATTACTTATACATTACACTTATACACCATTGGGCAGGAAACTAGTGCAGAAATATTCTGTCCCACAGAAGTACTCTCTCCCACCTTTAAATGAAGTAAACTATTGGAATTTAAACAAAATTCAAGCCCAGCTTCTTGTGTGGTTTCCAATCAACCAATGACACTTTTCCAGTCCAACCCTCCAAATTCTCTTTGTAGTATTATTTATTTATTTATTTATCGATTTATATCCTGCCTTTTTCCTGCAAAGGGCTCAAGGCAGCTTACATCATTCTCCTCCATCTTATCCCCACAACAACAACCCTGTGAGGTAGGTTGGGCTGAGAGTCTGTGACTGGCCCAAAGTCACATTATTATTTCTAAAGAAAAATAATTTATTTAATGGTGATTAGAAGATTTTCCAAGCACTGCATTAAGGAAGGCATTTACCTGCTTACGTTTTCAAATCTTACCTTCAGCAAATGCTGGAAGGAGGAATTGTAGTATCCCTGTGGAACAGCACCTCTGCTCCGGTTGGCCTTATCTAATGTACATTGTGTATGTCTGAATTCTGATTTTCTTGTGACACGCGATTACAACAATAGAATATTTTACTTACTTTTATACTGCGTCCTTTTTCTTCTTGCAAGGAACTCAAGACAACTTACAGGGTTATCCTCCTCTCCATTATATTGTTCCAACAACAGCCCTGTAAGGAGGGTCAGTGACCAATCTAGTCACCCAGTGAGCTTCATGTCTGAGTGGGGATTGCAACCCTGATCTTCAGTCCCAGTCTAGCCCTCTAACCACTACACCACACCAAGGTAGTCAGATTTGATGTTTTTAAATGTACTGCCTTTTTTAAAACATATTACTATTCCCAATTTTATTATGCTTTTATATTGTACCTTAAAACTCTTTAAAAGTTTTATATTTTCTTTTACCTTGCTGTGTCTTATGGTTGTAATTGTTGTGATCCACCCAGCCAGTAAGTAGAATAAGGATGCAATAAATGTATCTTTGTGTCAGGTAACATACTTCCTTTGTGTGATGCCTAAAAGGGTACTTCCAGGGAGGCAAGCTAAGGTAGGGGTGTGTGAGGAATCTGTTGGGGATGGGAATCCATTGGATGTCCTGGACTTGGCTCCCCCGGTTCTTGTCTCCTGTCTTGTGGCTGTGAGTATGAGCTCCTGGTGGGCGTGCCAAGCACTGGCACAGCGCTTGCCAGGAATTATGCCCTGCATGGCCGCCACACCAGCGGCATCCCTCTTCCACATCATGTGCAGTAGTATTTGCTGGTGGAGCATATGACACGGAAGGAGGAGACCAGCAGCATGACCTTCATTCTGAGAGCAAGCGCTGCCCCCCTTTTGCCATGCCTTGCTTTCTCAGACAGGATCAGGCATGACAGGAAGCCTGCGAACTCCAGAGGGGTGGATTTCATGGAACTTCATCACAACCCTAATCTAAGTTGCTGAGACGTACTGACAAAGGATGAGGTCCTAGACCTTATTGCCAAACTGAAACAAATCACCAAGTCCAGATGGTATGTATCCTAGAGTTGTTAAAGGATTCGGATGGGAAGTTGTTGAATAAGAACATGTAACATATTTTGGCCCATAAATGAAGGCTGTTAGAAAGTCAAATCTCGTAGTGGGGACTGTTTGTAAAGTAATTGAAAGTAAAATTGCTACCTGCATAATGCCTTATTTAAATTGAAGATGCAACCACACCTGGAATGGAGCATCATTCCTCATCACATCACCTGCATGAATGGCTGGTGAAGGTGCAGAAAAGAGCACTCAAAATGATCAAGGGTAGGGGAGAACTCCTCTGTGGGGAAAACTAACAAAGTCTGGGGCTCTTTAGGTCAGAAAAAGGTAAGAGTGACCATTACAGAGGTGTAAAAAATTATGCTTCACATAAAAAATTATGCTTTACGTGAAGAAAGTGGGCAGGGAGAGCTTTCCAATGGGAAATTTAGAACAGATGAAAGGAAGTACCACTTCACATACCACGTAATGCATTGTTAGAGTTACTGAATTTGCTGCTGCATGCTGTATCTATGGGCACTAAACTGGATGGCTTTAAAAGGGAATTAAACAAATGATAAAAGATGGCCACTAGCCATAATGGTTCTGTATTACCTCCAATATCAAAGGCAATATGCCTCTCCATCTGGTTGCTGTGTTGCAACAGAGTCCTAGACTAAATGAGCCAATCATTTGATCCAGCATGACTAACCTTGTCTTCCTAAGAGGAAATAAACAGAATTATCTCTCTCCATTTACATAGCTCAAGCTAAGATGTGGGGGCCACATCTTCCCCCAAAATCAATTGCTACATGAGATGGCTCACATGTGACAAGTCTAGCCACAGAGAGAGGACTGGCATGGAGTTGTGTCAAAAAGAGACAGCTGGAGTTAAAAATGTGCTATTTCAGAATGCAGCTGATGCAAGGTGTTGATCTTAGCTTTTACATTCTTTGGCAGGGGCTGGTTTTTATTTCCTTTTAAATTGTATTCCTATTTTACTGTTCCTAGCCACCTGGAGTGTGCAGTGGGCTTAGGAAAGGGCATACAGTAGAATAATAAAAGTAAATATCTGAAGAACCACATTTTTTCCCATGAACTTGCATGTCATGATCTTCATGGGAAGCCCTCTTCTGGGTGATCTCATTTTCTGAGGTTAGTCGAGGCAAATGACCGGTGGGACTCAAATTAGGCAATTGTGTCCCAAAATATTTCCTTCAGCTGTTATCTTTTAGGCACCAGGAAAACTCTTTCCCATCCTCTTGGGCTTTGTGTTTGGCTTTTTAAAAAAATGGTTATTCATCCTGCTAGTCTGCTGGTTTTTTAAAACTATTTTGTTACATCTAATTTATATCTGTTACCATCAAGGAAAAGAATTCTTTTTCCTCATCCTGCCACTTGCTTCTATGGTCTGTTCCCCACCCCAACAATGGTTTCTTCCCAAAGAGCCACAATTTACCTATACCAGCGCCAGGACTGGTTTAACTTTCCCCTTTCCAGAGGTGTATTGGAGTGAATGGGAAGGTGTTGGCTAGAGCATATCCCAAGATTACCCTGATCTGCTCCTGGCATACCCTTTCCTGTTGCCAGCACCACTACCAAGCACTGGTGATGGAGAGGCAAGGCGGGAGGAGACTTGTGTCCAGATCAGGGAGGCTTGTGAGGGCAGCCTTCTCCTCTGTTTCTGCTTCTTCCTGTCAGTGAGTGGATAGGCAGTTTGCTGTGGCCAGTGGCCCTTGAGACCATAACATGCCACATAAGTTGATTTGTAGTTGATTTGAATGGCTAAATCTACAGATGCTGTGACAGTAAATATAAACAGTAAGTAAATATACATAAAATATGCATATTCTCGAGCATTATTGATCAGTGACCAGGATCTTCTATCCAGTTATGGTACTGCAGTTTTACCACTGAATCAAGGAAGTTTCTTTTTACTACTTCTGATGGATCATTTTGGAATTAAATAACAAAATAAGGCACAGGGAATCAAGTTCTATAGTGATTTTCTATTAGAAAGTTTTCTGAATTAAATCTTCAAGTACTTTGCTAGTGAAAACATTGAACCTGCATTCTGGAGACCCTTGGCTCCTGGAGGTGAGTTGGCCTTAATCCCAAGTGGTTGTACATGGTGCTTAAACCTTCTGTGCATTAGGACTTTACCATTTCACACATCTCTACAGGAACCCTGCAAATTAGCATCTTTTAAAACCCAAGCCAGTAAAGAGCTCATCAGCTGTCATTCATTTTTCGAACTTCATTGAACAGTTTTCCAGTGGCCCAGTAGAAGGCTCTGCGCTATCAGTAAAATGTGTTGCAGTGTGTCAGAAGATGGTTTATCTATTGTTTGCCTGTTGGAAAAGCTAGCTATTAATCTAGCTTGTCTACCCTGCTGCTTTCAAATGCTGTAGCTAAATGAATTAGGAAAGATGCTACTATAGACTACACACAGTGCTTTAAACCATGAGAAGATCTGTGCTGTTTCTTCTTTGCCCAGAAAGAGTTTTTCTCATCTGTGCAATCACAAGCTCCCTTTATTTGCATTGCTCCAGGTAAGTGAATCTTATTTTCCAAACAAATAAAAGTGCAGTGACATTGCTAGATAATACTTAATGATAATGTTCTCTTTGTATGTTTGTATGCTAGACAAAAAGTGTATTTTGAGCTGCTTTTGTATTAGTAGACAAGTTACCAAAACAGCACCATGTTGAAATAAACTTGCTCTAAACTGACTTGCATTTTAATAAGCCTGATAGCTTGGAGATACCGAAGTATGTGAAATGGTGGCTTAATATTCAGTGAAATGTCTTCCTGTCACTGATATATCTAAAGTTTGAGACACAAAAGAGGGAAATGTGAATACAATATGAATTTTTAGCTTGCTAGCAACAAGCAGTCCTGCCAAAGGGATAGGCTATAACATATAATAGGATTAACCTTATTTTCCCCCAGTGGTATCTGGAGTCGGTATTGCTTCCAAGTTACCACAGCTATAGGCACAGGTACAGTTAATTTGGTGGTAGTTTCAGTCCTTTGCATTGTTTGCTCAACATTATAAAAACAACTGGGACCTGCAACAAACCATTTAGTGTGGAGGGCTCCTGTTCGGTATTTCAAGCAGCCAATACTGCTTTGCTTTGCTTTGCTTTGCTTTGCTTTGCTTTGCTTCGGGATACAGTATCCTTAGTTTTACAGCTGCCCATCTCTCTGCCCCATCTTGCTCAGTCCTCCATTTGCAAATTCCCTGTCCATTTTCTGTTTGCATATTGCATAATCTGCTGAATTGCACTAGGCTGGCAATGGACATTCCTCTCTTATGAGCCACATTATGATATCCTTAGAAAAGCAGTTTATATTCCTTTTCAATATAAACATGTTTTTCCACAAGAGGAAAAATCTTTCCACAATCAATTCATATCTTTTCTCAATTCAGCATTTCTCCAAACTTTTATTTGTATATTTGTCATTGTATTTTTAAACCACCCAATAACCCTCCCAATAATGTTTTCTGGCTAGTATGCAGTATGTGAAATGCACAATATAAACATTAAGACAAAAAGTAAACACAACACAGAATAAAATTAGGGTAAAATCAGCAGCAGAGGATAAAATAATTCCAGAGTATAAAACAAGTCAAAAGCAACAACAGAATAAAGTGTTGAATACAGTAATGCTTGGGATACCATGAAGTAGATACCAGGTGAACCCCTCAGGGGAGAGCATTCCACAAGAAGGGCACCGACATCAAAAAGGTTCCCCCCTCTCAGAGCTGCCTACCTTAACTCACTTAAGTGCGAGCATCTGAAGGAGGGGATCACACAATTATCTTAATGGCCAGGTAAGTATAAATGGAGAGTAACCTGCCCCCAAGATATTTAGGGCTTTAATGCTCAAAACCAGTACTCTGAATAGGGCCCAGATCAGAGCCTGGCAGCCAGGCCAGGCATGATATGATAACATCAACCAGTCTCAGCAGTGGAGCTGCCTTGTTTTGGACTCACTGAAGACTGCAAACTATGTCCAATGGCATGCCCACATTGCAAACAAGAAGATATCCAAGTGTGGTTACCAGACAGTACCAAGGCTGTGTCCATCCAGAATTGGCCATATGTGGGATAGCAGGCCAAACTGATAAAGGTGCTCTGAACCACAGAGAACTCATGTACGTCTATGCACTCCCAAACTATGAACCTGCTCCTTTAGAGATTATGCAACCATCTTGAATAGGAACAGGCAAATAAGTATCTTGGTCTCGTCTGGAGTGTTGTCACATGCTCTCAAGTCACCTCCAATTTATGGTGATCCTATGAATGAATGCCCCCTCCCCCCTGCCACAACTGTCCTGTCCTTGACAGCCCTACTTAGCTCTTGCAAACTCATGTCTGTGGCTTCTTTTATGGAATCTGGAGTGACTACATTATATCTGAAGTTATCCTTAGTTTATTGGCCATTACTCTGCCAAAGCACTGATTTTGAACATCATCTGCCTCAACAGTATTAATGGAAAAGGTGAGACAGAGCTGAATGTCACCCACATGCTCATGATGACAACCTACATCCTCAGATAGTCTCTTCCAGTAAAAATAAAATAAGGGAACCCCATAACACAGTGGTGGCGAACCCATGGCACGCGTGCCACAGCGGGTACACAGAGCCCTCTCTGTCGGCACGCGAGCCAAGTCGCCTCAGCATCGCCAGTGCAGCCAAGCATCGGATAACAGCGCACATAGGGGCCCTTGTGCATGCTCAGAAAGGAGTAGCAGTGCTAGGCGATGATGTCACAAGCCGCAACTCATCAGGCACAACTCGTCTAAGCTTTCGCATGGCTGGTCAGTGTGCTGCCAAGGATATACATATATTGCTTGGAGTGGGTGCAAGTTGTTTTTTCTAAACTAAAACCTCGGTATTCAGATTTTATTGCAGTGTTGGCACTTTGCGACAAATAAGTGGGTTTTGGGTTGCAGTTTGGGCACTCAGTTTCTAAAAGGTTTGCCATCACTGCTATAACACATATGTCATAGGGAAGAGTAATAATTCCCCAGCATCACCTTCTGGAATCAGCCATCAAGTAGGAATTGAACCATTCAATACAACACCCTCACATCCCAGACAGCCTGTGTAGAAGGATACCATTACTGATGGTACCGAAAGCCCCTGAGAGGTCCAGGAGAACAATCCAAGTTAGACTCCCCATGTCTCTTCCCAGTCAAACATGTCTGCGTATGTGCATACACACTTCTCTCTCTTTCAGTGTCCACATAGCTCAAGTAATTTTTAGCTGTTGAACAATTTTTCCCTTTGAATAATTATTCTCTTGTCTCTAGTACTGAATAAATTTATCCAATTCATTGAAAGGACCTTTCCGTAGGTTGATTTTCCCATATTTTGTCATAGATATGAGATCTTAAGTATTAATGCTTTATGGCAAATGTTATTCTTCCATTCTCTTAGAGTTAGTACTCCTTGTTTTTCCCTGTGCTTTGATCTTAGAATCTGAGCAGAAATATATCATTTCCTTAAATAAGCAGACAATTGGAATCTTTAGTGGTAATGTAAAAAATATTCTTCTATTCTCCCTAAATAATTACATTGATTTAAATCTAATTGTGGGATGGATTCTTCTTTGAAAGATCTGGAATTGGTACGTGTCATATTTTTCAGATGATAGACTGCAGACAGAGCTGGGGATTCTTGAGCAGCAGCAGAACTAAGGATGAGCTTGGCTTCTGCCTTGGATCCTGCACCACACTAGTGAATCCTGGGGAAGTCTCCTTGCCATCAGACCCCAAGAAATGTCAGACTCCCCCAAGACGCAGGAAGGCCCTGGGGAGCATTTCCCAACTTAGTCAGGGTCTCTGGATCTGCACCTGCACCTCCTATCTGGTCCATGTCCTGACCATGATCCTTTTCTAGGTTGGCTGCAATTGATAGCCTTGCCTACTTTCAACACTCAGGAACTGTCACTTGCCCCTAGCCGTTGAATTCATGATGCTGGAAGAGAGCAACAAAGCTGTGAAGCGGGTGGCATTTCAGTCCGCATGATCTGTGCATTGATTTGTCTGTCCATCTTTCTAAAAAAAATAGCATTTCCCTTATTTTTCTAAGTAGTGTTTTTACAGTCACTTCTCAAAGCTAGTTATATACCCTAGTCTGGCTGTCGAACTCAACCTAATTGAGTGATGTTCCCATAAAGTAAATGTGGACTTTTAATTAACTGCCAGTAAGCAATTTTAATTTGCTTTGCAATTAAAGTTTGTATCTATCCCTAAGACTTTCCAAAAATTGATCATAGAGCTGCTATTATAAGCATGTCTAGTCATCAGGTTAAGCTGTAGGCTAGGAATTTTGTTTAAGGAAGGTATAAGTATTGCATATTCATAAACATATAGAATGATACCTATTGGGAGTAAGAAAGATGCGGGTCTGGGCAGTCATTCTAGATGGTTCGGCATTGGACAGGGAAGCACGTTTGAGTGAAGGCTCGGTCAAGTTCCTGAGATGCAGCAGGAGGTGATTATCTCAAGGTGGGGCAATTCACTGAACCAGGCAGTCCTGGGAAGGGCTGAGCTGTGAAGTCAGTGGGAAGGGTCTCTGAGAAGGAGCAATGTGGGGATGCAGACCAGCCAGCAGAATGCAGAGGGGAGGTGTGCTCTTTCCAGAGAGCCCCTCCAGGCATGTTCATGAGGAGAGTTGCTAGACTGGGTTTAACAATCTGCTCTGTGTGTGCTCAGAGATCCATTCATGTGCACTTAGAAACATAGTGATGTGCACTTAGAAACATAGAAACAGAGCGAGTCAGAAGGGACCTCCCGGGCCATCTAGTCTGACCTCCGGCACCAGCCGGCTCCACTCACGACATGCCCACCATGTGGACGTCCAGCCTATCCTTGAACACCTGCACCGATGGGGCCTCAACGACCTCTCGTGGAAGCCCATTCCACACCCTCGGGGTCCTGACTGTCAGGAAGTGCTGCCTGGCATCCAAATGGAACCTTGGCTCCCTGAGCTTTGCTCCATTGGAGCGTGTCCTGCCTTCCTCTGCAGGGGAGAACAGGTCTCTACCCATCTCCATGTGACATCCCCTCACATACCTGTATGTCGCCAACAGATCCCCTCTGAGTCTCCTCCAGGCTGAAGAGACCCAGTTCCCTCAGTCTTGCCTCATACGGCATCCCCTGCAAACCGGCCACCAACCTTGTGGCCCTACGCTGCACTGACTCCAACCTGGCTATACCCTTTCTGTAATGAGGGACCCAAAACTGAACACAATACTCCAGTTGCGGGCACACCAGAGTTGTGTAGAGTGGTAGTAATACCTCTCTTGATCTAGAAGCCACACTTCTGGCTATGCAACCAAGGGTGGCGTTCGCCCTCTTGACCACCACATCACACTGCTGACTCATGTTTAGCCTGCAATCAACCAGCACCCCGAGGTCCCTTTCACAAGTGCTGCTCTCCAGCCACTTGTCACCTAACCTGTACCTATGACAGCTATTCCTATGCCCCAAGTGCAAGACTTTGCACTTATCCACATTGAACGCCATCCTGTTGT